CATAATATAAATACTAAATAGTAGCGACGTTTTAATTTATTTGTTCCACTTGCAGAGAGTTTGATATCTTTTAGCACCAATAATAGTTTTTTTATTTATTATTATTTAATTAGTCTGAATGTTTGTATTTTTTTTTTTTTACCCTCAGTAAGGGAATTTTTTTTTCCATAGATTGTACATATACAGGTTAGGGTAGATGCGGGTTTATAATGTTCATATACATTATCGAAAATTGTTTGACTTTAATTGGTATTTATTTATTTTTTTGTATTGTCATGTGTGAATAAAACTTAGTCACTGTGTTTGTTTTTCATAAATACGCGTTTCGCAGCAAAATCGGTATTGTGGTTCTGGCGGTTCTGCGAATACAATACGCATATATCTACTGTACGTTCAGTCGAAATAATATTAGATTTACTAGATATTTTGATAACCTTGTTAGTTGTGCTCAAGTGATATAACTAAGACTTAACTAGGTACATAGGTGCAATGTTGACATGTACTATGTACGAATGTTCCTGTGACATTTTTTTTTATTATTATTTAATAGGTAAATATTAATATTACTTTTATCAAATAGGTGTTTAAGTCTAACTGATAAAAATTAATTATAAAAATATTTTAATTATATAATATTAATCATTTGTTCAGCCAGCTATTATAATACATATATTTAATATTATGATGTATATAAAATGATCGAATAAATATAAAACAGTAGCTGGGTTTTATCCAATCCAATTCAGTGGCAAAAATTAAAAATAGTTGATACCGATAATAAAGGTTAGGTAGGTTAGTTACGTCGTTCATCTATTCTATCGTATAATAAATCAATAATTTTTTTTACAATTAGTACTATTATTACTACCATTAGATATCCTATATTATATCATCAATGGATAATGATAATCCCTACCTATTATCGTGCATACATAAATTATAATATCATCTAAGATTTATAATAGCATCTAAGTAAAAATTGGTACAATATAAAATATTTTTTTTATTTCTATTTTACTTTGTTAAAATGATAAAAAAAAAAAAATGTTTAATTATTAATTATTAATATTCTTTAGTTTTTACATTATTCAGAAAAGGAAGTTATAAAAATTACACAAATATGATAAAAATAATTAATAAGACTATTATAGAACAATAGCAAGTTGTACTTTTGAATAAATAATTTTAATAAAACAATTATAACATAATATTGTATTACAAAAAAAAAAAAAAAAAATGCGTTTAAAGATTTATAGTTTATGCAAACTTCAATAAAATGGTTAGTATAAAAAATTCTCAAAAAACGAATTTACCTAAATATTTTGATATACCCAAACTCAATGAACAATAATAAATATTTATGTAGATACATTCATACATAAATACATGCCATTATGATATTCTACTATATTACCAATGAGATTAATATAACTTAGATTTCTATATCTTAAATCATATTATTATCATAACTGAAACTTGAATATAGTGTAGGGTGACCATATTTAAAAAATAAAAAACAGAACAAAAATAATAATTATAATATTTTAAAATTAATATTTATTATATTATTTTTTTTTTCTTGTTAATTTTTAACTGAGAAAAAATATAATTTTTAAATTATTAAAAATTAAAATTTAGACATATAAAACATTATTTTGAAAAACATAAAATAACATGGTTAAATTAAATTAATACTTTTTAAAATTTCCTTTAATCACGTATTTTAGTATTTAACTTAAAAAAAAAAAAAATGTAAATTGTAGAAACGGCGGTACCGAGTCATTGAACTCATTATTTATATATTATTAATTAATTGTAGATTTGAAATGGTATTTCAAGGCGGGCGATAATATTATGTCATATTATATGTCATGTAATTGAATTTCATTAACGGATATTATATTTTCGATAACGAGAGAGTGGCATATAATCTTTGAGTCACTACCTGTGAACCGTGAGTCGATGATTATTGCAAGCGCTAATCGCAATTCTCGTATGGGTACTTATTTATAAATAAATGTTGTATATTATTATTATATTTTTCATATATATTATGTAACTTGATTAAAAACAAACAAAAGCTAATAACCACACTTGGTTACGTTTAAGGCAAACAAATATTTAAAAACATTACCACTGTGTAATTCATTCTTCGAAATAGTGTTTTGTTCGAAGTAATGAATTCTTGTATAATTGATGTAACTATATACATAATATTAAAATGTTTTTCCAGTAATTTTTAACTGGAAATAATATTGTTACGTATTTTATTTTTAGATTGAAGATAATTATACCGTGGGTATTAAAACAAAAAAAATGAACATGAATAATATCATTATAGTTTTATTATTATGTTTTAATTTGGCTAGTAATATATATTCAATCGCACAATTAGTAAGTACTAAGTTTAGAATGTATAAAAATTATTATAATTTTTAATTTTTTTTTTTTTTAACAAACCCAAAAATAAAACGACTATGGAAAACAATAAAGCAATATTACAAGAAATTGGTGAGCTAAATATAAAAATTAATGAATTAAAAAAACAACCCATAGAAACTGATGATCAAAAATATACCAGCATTTTTTTTACCCCTTATTGAAGGGTGTTCCCAAATTCTCGAATTATATCACGCCAATGGACAAAATATTCCGAAATACAAAGAACATATAACGAACAATTCCAATGGATCAGGTAACATAATTAACAGTACGATCCATTTTAATAAAACAAGTACATAATAACCGCTGCTCATGAGTCACGCCGTCCGGTGAGTTGCCGGTGGATCTCCTGAACCCAACAAGCAACAAGCACCGCCGATCCAAATCAGTAGTAAGTATTAGTATGTCTGGAGGATCCCCCCGCAAAACTAGTGAATCCGACTACTCCCCTACCACACTCCCACCAATGTCTATCACTTGCGTGCTCGGCTGTTCCCCCCTTCCCACCTGTCATTTAAAGAGGTATCCATCCTTCTAAATACCTACAGTAAAGTTGTATTAATAACATAATATGTGAAATAAAGACATGATATACATAAAAATTATTTTTTATTCATTGAAATAATATTAAGTTTTACAATAATTATTTACATTGTTCTTACTTCGGCATTAAATGAATTATATTATGAGTTATAATTTGGTCATGTAATATTAAACAATATGCCGAAGTGGATGCCGAAACGCTTCCTCGGTCTCGATTTCAATTCTTAGATCAACAGTTGACGTTTTTACATTATCGTTCTGTCTACTCATATAGTCATATCCACAACTATAATCGGCAATAGTTTTTTTGAAATCTGATCGTCATTCCTTTAGTAGAGGAGTAACATTATCATGACCATAGTAGGACTTCTGGAACCAGTATATGCGCGGTATAATGTAACCATCTTGTTTTTAGTAAAGTCACTTTGAAAATCTTCGTTGGAGAATACTTCAGAATTGAAATAAACCTCAAGTTTTTGATTTTATAATGACCAAAATATGACATTGATTTACTCATACTGTTTTTCCTATCAGTCTGAAATCCGATTATAGCATACCGAGGTTTTTCTAATTTTCAAAATATGTGTGATGATGCTTGTGCTCAACATGGAGCTATTATAATTATTGGGCTATACTTAGAGTAATAAAATATTTATTTATAAATAATAATAAATATATTATAAGGAACAGGTTGCGGCTGGTCGCGCTGGTCGGTAAATATAATACTATTATACGTAGTTATGAATTACGTCGCCGATAACAATGTGATTCAGCAATAATTATGGTAAAAACAAGAATCCAAAAATACTAATGAAAAGTACAGATTCTCATATTATTCTATTCAATAATGTCATACTAAAATACCGTAAAAAAAAACGAATTTTTTCTAAAATCAATTTCAAAAGTTATAAATTATAACAGTGAGGTAAAAAACGGGAATAATATGGGACAGACTTGAAAATACGGGACAAAAAGCGTTCTGAAAGAAGATAGTCAGAGGAACAGGACATTAAGTTGAAATAAAAATCCTGTAAAAAACAGGACGTATGGTTACCCTAAATTATAGTGGTTACTTAAATAAAAGTTGAATTTATGAAAAAAATGTAAAGGTTGGTTATCAAAATAATTAACAGTATGCACACTATATTTTGTAATAGGTATTTTAAATTGTTACTACATTTTGTAATCGTACCATTTATAGTATGTTATAATATTCTATTCACACGACTTTTTTCAAATGCATATAATTTCTACCAATTAAGACTTGTATTACTAGCATTAAAATTATAACGTGTTTCCATTTAAACTTTATTTGTAAACAATAAAATTATTATGAATCAAATATTTATAAATTTCAAGATATAATCATAAGGAAAGACCGTGGGCCGTGACCCGAAGTAAACCAATCTATTTTTTGACATTATTATTAACTTTAGAACCTTTAATTGTATATTATATATTTTATATAAACTCGTATCTTTCAAGTTATATAATGTCCATCTATCCATCTATTTAAACAATATATTCAATCAATACATTATAAATAGGTATGTATATTTATGTTTTTAATATTTATAATATAATTTACAAAATGCAAGTATGAAAAATGTATATTATTCACCAGTACTGTTGTAACAACAACGATCAACGGCTATAACAGTATAAATCTTAAAACCTATGATTTTTGAACACTTCTAGTAAATAGCAATTATATTAAAATAATAATATTATTGTAATAAATGAAATTGGAAGTTCCATAATGTATTTTCTAAGAATTTCTCCCAGTATCTGATCGTATTTTGTATAATTGTATTTGTCAGATAATCCTTATCGATTGTAATTATTTTGAGGAATAACTATTTTAACTACCAGCTTTCGGGAAATTTGTCTTCATCGTTTGCTAATTTCTAGAAATAGTCAATAGATATTATTGTCTATTGATAATATTATTATTGTTGCAATGAAATAATTCTAATTTTGGAGTTTTAGGTGTAACCGTTTTTAAGGCTGCAAAAATATGCAACCAGGCCGGGGGCCACACTGCGCGACACTCGTGAGTTTTGATCAGTTTTCGAGGTTCGGGTGATAAACGGACGGGATAGTATATTGTTTAACACGAAATTCGAATTCAAAAATCAAAACACGACCACCGACATCGGCCTCTCGTTCGGCGGTTCGATTGTTTTCTCCTCGCCGCAGCCGTCTGCCTCAAATCGCAGACAGTTCGAAATGACGAAACCTAGGCGTTCTGCCGGACCCGCTTTTAAGTATCGCACGTGCGACACTTGCATGTCGACGTTGTACTTCACGGATTTGGAAACCCATTTCACCGACCATTGCCCGCCGAGCACGTCAAATTGGACCCAGGCATTCGTCAACGACCATTGCCTTTACTCGTACGCCAAGCTGTACACGAAAGGTACGAGACGTTTGTGTATTTTATCGTACGCAGCACGGTATGTTGTGTGCTGTTTGTCGACAACACTACACAATACGATATTAAATTTAAGTTAATACTGTGTTCAACGCGCAACAACGTTTACAGATGACGAATACATGGTGGGAAATGACAATGTGGTCGTGCCGATTGCTGCGATTCAGTTGTGTGGCTTTATGCTCGGTGAACCGGTCATTGTGAAGTGTGGCAACAAGACTTTCGTCAAACACATCTGGCCTTCAGACGATTTGCCACTGTCAAGTGTATATTTCTCCAAAGAAGGTTGAGTGATTATTATATCTAATCCATGGGCAAAACTAGGGTGTCATTTTTTCGGGGAGATCAAATTTGTTTTGATGTTGGTTCATTCACTCCGCACTCCTCAGTAATAAAATTATAATGTGCTATTACACTACAACTCTTGTAAAATCGTAAATTGTTTTTGTATAATTATTGTTCTTGGCCAATTTTTATTTGTCGCATAGAAATAACAACCTTTCACAAGTTGCTAAACTAATAAGATTTGTGAAAACTACTTGTTGCAATTATGTTTTATATCGGATGCGCATTTTTAGTAACGACTTGTTTAATATCTAGACTTTCTTTAATACTAGGCAATTTTTGACCATAAGTGTCAGTGATTTTAAACAATCTACTAATATATGGATTACATCTTTGAAACAGATTACAAATATATAATTAATGAGTTTTGAAACAAAATTAGTATTAGTTTTAATGCTAGTGTCGGTTGTGGTCACCACATAGTTTTAATTTTTTTTTTTTCATTATCATTGATGTTTTTACATTTATAAATTTAAAAATACTTAAATATTTCTTATTAGTCACAGTTGATAGTTATATTTAAAATAATAAATAAGTTGTAAAAGCTATATTTTAAATACAATTAACATGGTTTATAATCATGATTGTCTATTGCTCAATGTCTAACAACTATGAACTTAGACATTTTTACCATACAGAATATTTAATAACAAGTAAACAATAACTAATAGACAATATCAATTAATAGGAACCAGTATGGTACTGTAGCATATTCATGTTCTTCTTTAAAAATATTTTGAAACATAAATAGATTGTTGGGTATGTTCAATAGTTCATAGTGGCTTTTAGTAGGTTATGATAAATATGTGCTATTTTTTATATCATTAAATTGTATAAATGATTAAAATAACTAAAATATTATAGTTAGTCAATTTGAGACTTTATTTGAAAAAAAAAATTAAAAAGTTTCATTTTTTTCTTTTAACAAATACTTATAATTTTTCATCATCATATTTTTTTTTTTTTTTTGGAAAGGGGTGCTAAGTTTCCTCTACCTCCAAACTAATTGTGCCTATTATACCGTAACTTGATGATTAAGTTATTTACTGTTTATTTTATCACTTACATTTATATTTTTTTGTTATTTTAGTATTGACAAACGAATTAGATCTGTTAGAACATGTTTCTATAGAGCGATTTAAAATTCCACCTTCTGAAGCTCAAAAAATTGAAATCTGCTTATCTAACAACGATCAATTACCAGATGGAGAATTCATACGACACCTATTAACTCACATTTCTAATAAATATGAAGGGCGTATCATCAAACCTTCAGATTTCTTATGTTTTGACTTTTATGGACGTAGTCTAGTTTTAGAAGTATCAAAAATTTTTACTTTTCCTAATGTTGAATTAAACGAACAAATGCAAACTATGAATTTAAACAATGAACGATTTTATCATATTTCAAGTTCTACTACATGGAATATAATAAATCATCACAACAAAGATATTATAACTTACCCAATATCAAATGTTGGTGGATTGTTTAATATCTATGAAAAAGTAATGAATGTAATACAGAAATTAAAATATCAAAGTAAGCTAATGTTAAGTTGTATAGTAAAACCAATGTACTAAATATTTATTAAGTAGATTTTTTTTAGATGTTTGCGGTTTTCTTTTACATGGTATTTCTGGAACTGGAAAAACATTATTAGCAAAAACTATAACTTATTCATTGAAAAGACATGTGGTTGAAATAAAAGGTTGGGAAATTCTAAGCAAGATTTATGGACAGTCGGAAGCAAAGTTAAAACTATTTTTTGAAGATGCTATTATTAATTCTCCTAGTGTCATCCTAATTGATAAGTTAGAAACATTAAGCAAATCAAATGAATCTTCAGACCTTGAAAGAAGGATTATGAATACACTTCAAACAATGTTTGATTTGTTAAAATCAACCAAACATAATGGAGTTGCTATCATTGGTACTACTTGCAACTTAAGTTCTGTTGATAGCAATTTACGGAGACCAGGAAGGTATATTGATTTAATTTGTTATTAACTCAAATTTTTTTATACATATAGTTATCATTTTTATAAATTTAGGTTTGATTACGAGATTGAATTACCAGTACCAAATGAATTGCAACGTAAAGATATTTTGACAAAACAATTGAATCATATTCAACAAGAAATAAGCGAAGAAGAAATAACTTCCATAGCATATCGAGCTCAAGGATTTGTGGGAGCTGATTTGTTAGCTGTAGTTAACCGCGCATTAACTGAAGCAGCAATTAATAATGAAAATGTCACTTATAAACATATGTGTACTGCTATAACCCAAGTTAAACCGTCAGCCATTAAGGAAGTAATGGTTCAAGTACCTAATGTAAGTTTTTACCCAAAATTTTATTATCATTATTTTATAAATATTTTGATTTATTATATATATATTTAGGTCAAATGGACAGATATAGGTGGTCAAGATGACATAAAATTAAAACTAAAACAAGTTGTTGAATGGCCTCTTAAACATCCAGAAGCTTTTAAACGTATGGGTATCACTCCCCCGCGGGGTGTCCTATTATATGGGCCTCCAGGTTGTTCTAAGACGATGATTGCTAAAGCTGTAGCAACAGAGAGTCACTTCAATTTTATATCAGTAAAAGGACCTGAACTCTTCAATAAATATGTTGGAGAATCTGAACGTGCTGTCCGAGAAACATTTATGCGAGCTAGAAGTGTAGCTCCTTGCGTTGTATTTTTTGACGAGTTGGATGGTTTAGCTGGTGAAAGAGGTATGGGAGACAGTGGATCAAGTGGGGTTCACTCTAGAGTCTTAGCTCAATTGTTAACAGAGTTAGATGGTGTTCAACCATTAGGGAATGTCACTATTTTAGCTGCAACCAATAGGCCAGATCTTATTGATTCGGTAATAAAAATTTTCAAATTTTATTTAGAATTTTATTTTTAAATAACATCATTTTTCTTAGGCTCTCTTGAGACCAGGACGATTAGATCGTAAAGTATATGTTCCATTACCAGATAAAACTACACGTTTGGAGATATTAAAACTAAAACTTTCAAAAATGCCAATATCATCTGATGTTGATATCAATAAATTAGTTGAACTTACTGAAAACTATTCTGGTGCAGAAGTAAGTATAAAAGTTATTTATTTATTGCATAACATACATTGTAAGTATTAATTATATTTTTAAAAGGTAATTTCAATATGTCATGAAGCTTCATTGAAAGCTTTGGAAGACAATATAAAGGCAGAACAAGTAGAAATGCATCATTTTGAAATTTCACTTCAATCATTACGACCTCAGACACCATTATGGCTTTTAAAAATATATGAAAAGTTTTCTGGAATTCAAAGGTAACAAAACTATTTTAATTTGTTATAAATTATTTTGCGATGTTTATATATTATGTTATAATTTATGAGACATTGTGACATAAGGAAGAGGCATAAACAAGTAGGGAATCTAGACTACACTAATGGAATGTCCTTCAATATGGCAGTCAACTTTTTTTCAGTCAAATTTGTCTCTTAATTTTGCCTTAAATAGTACTGGTAGTAATGACAGGGCAGCAAATGTTGCCAAGAGTAGGACGGAAGACCATGACCAGGTAGATTCTGATGCCACCTGATGTAAAGTTTGTCCAGCTTGTACAACCAACACAGATGGTACTGCTACTCCCTGGAATTAAAATAATAGAACCATGAAAATGTAGTCATTAAATTTATTTTTTATCATGCAGTTTGTTTATCAATTTAATCACAAATATTTATCAATTAAGTTATTCAATATTTTTACAAGATGTCCAAAAAACTAAGATATTTGATCTCAAATTTTTTGTTTTTGTTTTCTCATATTTTATAAAAAAATAATAAAGTAATTTTTTTTTATCTAAAATTTAAAATTTACATTTTTAATTTCAGATTGAAATAGATTATTACTATTTATGTAGATTACAAAAGATGAAAATACAGTATACATTTTCTAAATTATCTGCTTTAAAAAAAAAATAATTATAGTGCAAATATTCAATAGAGATTTTTCTTTCAATAAAAATATTTAAATAATTAAACTGAAAATATAGGTTACTATTATTTAAAATTCAAAATCCAATGTTGATTTTATCTCAAAAATATTAAGTATAGTATACAATTTTAAAACTCCATAAACCCTTAAATATTTCAAAAATATTAATAACTCAAACATATTTTTAAACTATGGTTTAAGGTTTATTTATTTTTTTTTAATATTTACCAAAAAAAGTTCCTAACCAAAATGGTATTAACGGAACATCAACTAGTGGTGCGCATACATTTATAAACCAATTAGGTAAAAATGGGGTTATTCGCAAAAACATTATATAACAGAACATATTGTCGTTGTGTTTTTTAACCTGAAAAAAAAAGTAATTATTACTGATTGCATTGACACACATTATATTCAATAATCACCAACCAATTTTGCATATGACTTGATTCTATCTGGGAAATATTTATATGCTAATCTCCTTCCGATTGTCATTGACAGTAAGTAACAAAAACATGCCCCCATTGCTGAACAAAAACATATGATTGCTAATGCTAATACAAACGGGTATAAAAATCCACATAATATTGACAATGAAATTGAACCAGGTATTGCAAATGTTTGCAAACTGATATTTAATTAATATTTAAGGTAAATTAATGATAATTAAATGACAATTTGTTAAATTATTGATTTTCAATGTATTCAAAGGATACAATATGTAACAGAAGAAAATTGACATAAACACTTGAGTGTAGTATGTATCCTTGTAATCTTCCAAGACTCTACCCAAGTTTTGCATGTCTGTGGTATTCCGTGGAATTTTGATATATTTTTTTTCCTCCCTTTAAACAATAATTAATATAATTAACATTACTCGCTGTTTAGTATATCTTTAGTATAAAATTAATTTTTTACTACATACTCAGTCAAATGGGGAAAATTGTAATATAAATATGCTAAAATAAGTAAAGATGCTAAGAATATGACCACTAATATAATCACTGCTTTTGTGGTAGACATTGTTTGGTCATTTTCCATCTTTAACTGTGTTATTGTTGTTGTGTCGTCCACTGTTGACACTGAAATTAAATCATAAAACTTTCATAATTTAATAACCATTAATATTGTATTTGTTTGTGTTTCAGATGAATAAGACTGTTAATAGAACACTTAAAAATACAATCAAAATATTACAGTTGTTTAGAGTGATGATTTAAAAAATGTTGTTTTGACGTGCGTTGTTTATTTATTAATTTTAGAATAAAGTTTACCAGATTCGTTTTTCACATTTTGATCCACATCCATGTCGTGTGTTGTTGTCTCCTTTGACCTAATAAGCGAAATCGGATAATGCTTTTAGTGAGCTGGTAATTCGTCGGTGAAAAAAAAATGTGAATAATTCAAAACCGATGATTATTTGATGACAATCGACAATATCTCATCGTTTCCTATTTCGTCGGTCATCTGTCGCCGTATGTACAGCATAATAATGTTATAATAAATTATTGTTTAAAATAATGAGGATTTTGTACACAAACCAACGAGCTTATAACAATAATATACATACGTCATTTACAGATCAATGATAATGATCATCGGAGGAGGTAATTCTTGAATTTATTTAGAAATTGATACACTTTCTCGTTATCACATTTCACATATTGTTCATCTTAAAACAGCTGATTTCACAAATTATTTGCGGATATCCTTATCTCGGTAAGTATGAAAAATATGAAGTTACAGCGCCCCCCGTGGACACAGTAGAAGTACAAAAAAAGTAGATTAGACGGCTTTGAGTTTAGCTTCAGCATGTTGTCCGCCAGTAAAAGCTTATGATTTTGTATAGCAGTAATTTAAAGCTTATTAAATTAATGAAATTTGTCCATGAACAAATCATTCAATTTCAATATAAAAAGGCAGGCAAGTTGGTATTGTTGGTAACACTCTGCTGAAGTGCTGAACATTAAACGTCGAGTTGGTCGCTGTTATGGATATGTTAAATTTGAATTCAATTATATATCAATAAATACAAAAAACTGAAAAAACGATTCTGAGCAAAACGGTGTATCAGGCATCAGCCTATCGCCGAGTATACTGACTATACTGCATTTTTTTTTTTTTTTTTTTTTATGTAGCTGTTGCCTATTATAAAAACTAAAAAATTTATTTTACTTTTAAGATTACGGTAAATTGATATCATCTTTTACGAAAATATTGTATTTACCTATTTAGTTATTAAAATAATATAATATTCTTATAGCATATTATTTCATCTCTTATGATTTGGAATTTAATAATATCTTTGTGAAATAATAGAAACAAATAATGATATCTCAAAAGAAATCAAATAATATGTCATTACATATACCTACTAAAACTCATAATAATATAAATATATGGGTAATGCTTGTAAAAATTTTAAGTTTTTAAGTTCCGTTGAATAATGTTTTTAAATTATAACAAGTTATGATGCACCACTGCACCAACATGAAACTGATAGAATATTTATTTATTTTCAAATCTTCTGTCTTGCTAAGTAAAAACTTAGAAAACTAAAAATTTATATTGTCTTGGTAATATCAAAAAAATAACCTTAGAAAAAATAAAATAAACGTATATTTTATACATTTATAGATCTGTTTAAAAAAGAATAAATACAAATTGACCAAACGGGATAGAAAAATAACATATTTAAAATCATTTGTTATTGTGTACGTTACTACCTATATGAGTACTGAATAATATAATACATAATATCATCAGGTAAAATGAATGTGCTCAAAGTTTGAATATACAGCTTAATGTACGCAACATTTAACATGGTGTGTATTTAAATATTTTAAGTACATTAAATATTTATTTTAGGAAATGAACGTGTGGAAGCCACATATATATCTATCCGTAAACCATAATTGCTAAATATACTGTCATTCATTTCACGAATAACTGCAGAAAATTTAATATGGGCATTGTATTGTAGATACCTATGTCGTAGAGTTGAATCGTCTTGTTTAAATAGGACTAAAAAAAATGTGTTTTCTTTTACTGTTCTGATAATTTTGAATACTTACGTTAGTGTTGAGTAAAATATTGAGTTAGCCTTAACACCAAAGCAGCGTTCTAAATTATAGAATCGATGTAAAAGTGTTTAATTATTGTAATAAATCGCATTATAAGTACTAAAATGAAATTTTTTTTCTTAGTAATTTCTATTTACTTAATTTCATGATATTTTTTAAAAATGAAAACAATTATCACCTTTCTGTTATTTATTAATATTTTTCGTATTACCTACTAGACGACGTTTTAAGAAAAAATAAATATTTTCAAATCTAATCAATCTTAATGCACAATAAGATTAAATATTAGGTTTAAATTTTAGTTTAACATTTCTTTGTATCTAAGTAGAAAATCATTTATGATTTTTGAACCTTTCATATTTTTCTTCGGGGGAGGTTGATACTAGGAAATTAATTTTGTAATAATTAATAATACATTACAGTATTATAACGAAAATACAAATTAAAATAAAATATATAATAATTAAAATCAGTGGTAATGCGATTTGTTTTACGTTTATAGCAACTTTCAAGTCGAACGCATATAATATTTTTATTCCATGAATTGGTATAACCGTTTTTTTTTCTTTTTTTAATGGCTGTTCGATATACCATTTATACCAGTTTTGTATTATCTAATCATGTTTTACTTATCAACGTTCAACGCCATAACCGCAAAAATCGTGTTTACGAATGCTACCTAATACCTATAACTGTTGTAACTTTTTCAAACAAATAAACAGACGAGTTTTTTACCGGTAATTATTTTATAACAAGATCAATATTAATTTTATTTATTGCTTTATTCTAAATACTAATTACCTTTTATATAGGTTAGATAATTGTATACTCAAGAGAACTTACGGTTTTATTTTAAATATCTGCAATCATTTGAGTGAAAACTGCAGTGGACGAACAATACACTTTTATATTACATAATGTAATATAATTTTTTAAAGGTACCTATGTTAATAATGATTAAATAGTAAATACATTAAAAAAAGTAAAGTATTTAGTCGATTTGATTTCCAAAGTTTTTTCTCAATTTTTTTGTTTTAATAAATGGTTTGTTTTTATTAGCTAATTTGTTGATGTGATAGGCAATTTTAATTTATAGAATTTATTTACTTTTTAAATACATATTTTTTAAAGTGTTCTATTTACTCTGGATAAATTAATACTGTTAATTTAGTTTAGACGGATTTTTTAAAAAATTAGAATAATATATATAATTGTTAGTGTTTATGAATTATTAAATTCAGTATAAAATTTCTTTTATATGATTCCAAGATAAATTGTAGTTGACAAAGTTGTATACCCTTTATTGTGATTATTTTTAATTTTAATTTTTGTTTGATTATTTGGGTAATATTAAAATTTTCATGTTGTTAATCATATAAATAAAAATTATATCATTGATAGAAATTTTAGTTATTAATAATTGATTATGAGTTATAAGTTATGATAATCCTCAGTGGTCGTAATCGAGCGGGATTTTTCTTTACTTTTCTTGATCAAAAAAAGATGAATGAACATACCTAAAGACCTTTTTTATAAATTTTAAATTTACTTATATTTATGACATAATTTATTTTTATTATTTTGTAACGTTTATTTTTTTCTTTGTATTCATTTTTACATTAATTAAAAAATTATTTAAAATTAATTGAATTCCTTAAATAGTAATTACTTTTGTACAAATAATAAAAAAGATGATATCTAGTCATTAGTTTAAAAGTTAACTTCTTTTATAGTCTTAATTACTCCTAAAGTAACTAAATATACATTATAAAAAGTATATTATTTTTATTTATTTATTTATTAACATTAATAAAATAAAATATTGTTTATTTCTTTTTTCAAAAAAATGCTGAGCATGCCACTGAGCCAAGAAACCTTAGCACATTGATGGTTTTATTAAAGATAAACTAAAAACTAAATCTTAATTGACTACCTATAACATAACCATACAGTTATACATTAAATTAGCTACTTATTGAAACAATGTAGCTTGATGTTTATTGTTTAGTATAAATGCATTTAATTAATAATTATCATATTGAAATGTTTATATATTTATACAATAGTTATTAATACTATTAAAATCAAAAATGATTTCATAACTTTCATGAAAATTATATGAGAAGATAAAAATATTTCTTGTTGGGTACTTATTTAAGGTTAATTTAGAAAATATTTTTTTCCTTTATTTTTTCTTTTCATTTTTGCATAATTTGTTTCAGAATTTTGTGGATGAATTATTTCTGGAATTATAAATTTACGAATATAATTTTATAATTTAATCTATTTTTAAACAAGGTAAGTTTAGTTTTCATATTAATTTTAAATCTTTTGTCCATTTAAAATAAATACTCATAAACCTTAAAAAGTATGATCACATGTTCATTTGTAAAAGTTTTTGTTTATTTATTCATATTATATAAAAAAAAATAAGTATGTTTCAAATTTAAATATGTAAGAGTTGCCTATTATTAAATTACAAAATAATATAATATATATGGTTATAATATGAGTATATTTTATCAAAGTTAAGAAATATATAAGATACTTAATTCATTTGTATGACCATTTAAATTACAACTTTTTTATATTAATTTTAGTTTTTTTTTTTTTTAGGCATCTTATAATGGCTTCATTTGATTTAAGAAGAGAACTTCATTCTAGAGGACCTCCAATAAATTTAAATAAAAGTTTGTCTACCAAAAAACATACACTTCATTTTGATGGTCGTTTTGTTAGCAAATCAGACAGATATCAGTTAGAATCATATGGTCTATATACCCCTAATCCTGTTCTTGAAGGATTAAGTATATCTAATAAGAGTAAATTAATATGGTCGGCTCGTTTATCCGATAGTCTATGGGCATGGTTTGTTTATGGTCGCAAACTTCTTGTATGGAATGCAGAAAACAATAAAGAAAATAAAACAAATCCTTGTTTTGAACTTGGATTACCAGCAAGCGAAGTTGCTCATCAAGCTGCCCTGATTTGGGTTTTTGAACCTGAATTAAAAAAGTCTTCTTCTCATGCTTGTTGTATAGCCGTGTCTCCTGAAGGGTTGATACGTTTTTGGAGAGATGTATATGACGAAGTAGAATATTTTGAATACAATACTGATTTGATGGGAAAGGAATGTGAATTACTACATCAAGTTGACAGTTCAAGATATATTTTGTTGACAACAACTGCTGATTTGGTCATGGTAACAATCAACATGGATTCTGTTCGTCCTCAAATAAGTAGTAAAATATTGACAGAGTCTACTGGTTGGTTAGGCAATATATCTATGAACTTATCATCTCTTGTTTTTGGTTCAACTGGTCAGCAGTCTGATCCTAAAACCATTTGTGGCTGTGTATTAAAAAGTTCTTCTGACTATACTGAACGCATTTATGTAGTAACAACTAATGGTACAACTTTAACCAAGTGGAATGTTTCAAAACCAAATAATGAAAAACAATTATTTGAAGTAAACTTAGCGAA